GGACATCATTAATCTTGTACACACATTTGAAACCACAAAAGAATTTGGCAGTATTAAGGTTTCAAAATATTCAAAGTTTTTTCAGACAGTCTTAGTGACGCAAGTTCCAGGATGCAGCCCCAACATCTCAATAACATAAGACTTTTGTAGGGAATTAGTACAAATTACAAATAGCATATCGTTTCCAATAAAGGGTGCCTTCCTAGCAAGCCTATGAGAGGAAAATTAATTATAAAGTGGCATTAATTGTCAATTGAAGACAAATCCAGCTTACAGTATGCCACCTTTAATGCACTGTAGAGCAATACAGGCAACCCAAAACAAAATCCTGATGTGCTCTGTAATACCATAACTGACTATACTTCTTGGATGAAAGTACTGGCCTTACTCATTCTCACCTCATTTGCTTTACAATTGCCCTATTACAGTGATCGGCAGCCATACTAACCACTAATAAGACCTGTGGGTGGGAAGGTGCATAGCCATCATTGTCAACAAACAAAATGGTAATTAATGTGTATATCAAGGCATAACCTGTTTATTTTGCTTTGAATAGAGTAGGGAAGGGTTAGACCCTTTACCAAGTTTTTATTGCTGTCTGCATCCCCATTAGGGAGATCCACCCCACTACTTGTCACGGTGACCATTGTCACCCAAACAGACAGTGAGGGAAAATCTGAAATTTTGTAGTTGTTACCAGAGTGAAAGGTGGGGTCACTTGTTTGGGTGACCACCGCATAAAAAAATGTTCTTCCTCTCATCTTTGAAAGATTTCTATTCACTTTCTGTTGCATCCCTGGGACAGGAAGTAAAGGGAAATGTCCCCAATGGAGTTTTTTTACTCTTCCCTAATCTATCCAAACCTAAAAAAAGTTTTGGCTATACTCACACTTTAAGAGTAAGCCATATAGAGCTTGAATTTTGGCTTATTCCTTCGGGATTGTCTGGAATTTGAACCATGGCAAGTTCTGTTGGCACCACTTGGCTATACAAACTTCAGTTGAAAAATTGAAGGAACTGGGTGGAAAATTATCTGAACAGTGACTGATTGCAATCAGATGCAGTCTCTATTTGGGTATTCAGACAGTGGTGGGCAGCGGCTGTCTGAATACAATAGCTGGCAGGGGCGACTCTTCCATACATGCTGATTATAGTGGATGGGCGAGTCAACTGATTCTCCCATTTGATTGACAGTAATCTAACCTTGCAGCTCATTCAGCTGCACTGTCTGAACCAGCGGCGTATTTAACTTTGCTGCTGCCCTAGGCAAGGCAGCAGCGCTGCCCCCTCTGTGCTCCAGGCAAACGCCTTGTTTGCCTCGCGGCAGATACGCCCCTGGTCTGAACACCGAAGCATCTCTTCACCAGAGAAAATAGGACTAATCTCTACAGTAAGCCAGACACAGCAGTTCCTGAAGGGGGTTATATCAGGTAAGCTTATTATTAAAGGATATGTCCACTTTAAAGTGCATGTCCAGCTAAACCCTTTTGCTGGACAGAATGGGAAAGTCTAGGGAGGTAAAGGCATTTTTAATGAAACCCCAGATAGCAATAAAACTAGACAGGGATTCTAAACCTTCTCCAGTCTATCCAAAATGTTAAAACATGTTTTTGATGGACATACGCTTTCAATCTCATATTTTTATGTTGGGTGACAATTTGTTGTTTAAAATGCTAGCGTAGGCCCCCCTCTGCAAATGGTCTGATTTGATCTTAGTAAGTGAAAAGCAATTTTGCTATCTTTGGAGTGGTCACTTCAAAGATAGCAAAATTGCTTTTCACTTACTAAGATCAAATCATACCATTTACAGAGGGGGGGCCTACGCTAGCATTCTAAACCATAAATTGGCATCCAACATAAAAATATGAGATTTAAAGCGTATGTCCAGCAAAAACATGTTTTTACATTTGGTCAGGGCAATAGGCATCTGGATTATTCATCTGAATTATTTCTCATACCAGTCACGCTGTTTGGGATGACAGATACAAGTGGTTACATGGCCTAAAATTAGATTTGTGAGCTTTCCAAGGAGGACAAAGTTTAAGAGGATGACCTGACCATAGCTGTCTAACAGCTAATTAAGCATTTAATGTCCAGTAATGGTGCCTGATTAAGTACTTAATTATTTGTGGGTTTTGTTAAAGAGAATACCAGCTTGGATGAATCAGACCATAATAAAGAATTGAAAGTACTCTGTGTTGTTACAAATATCTGCAAATGTTAAATACTGCAAAATTGTCTGAAACACACAGAAAGGCTGACAGGGCAAAATTATTAACCATATGGCATGAGAAAATACCAGGAGGAACAACATATGCCATCATCTTTACAAAGGCTCTTGAAGTATCAATTGTATCCATTGGGTAATGTTCCATTTAGGGAATAAACTATAGCTGCAGGATACAGGAATGTCATTGCTGCATTTGAATGCAAGTTTTAAATGAGGTCTAAGTATTTTTAGACAGCCTTGAAGTTGAAACACATTCCTTGAGAGAGGAGAGTGTGTGTACAGGACAGGAAGGGGAGTGTCTCCAATAGGTCACAGGTGGACAAAAGGGGTTTAAACCATGCCCTTCTCTATACAGAGTAAAAGAAAAGGGTTTTGGCTGGAACAAAATTGTAGAATGCTTAGATCCTTTGTCAAGCTCTGATGTCCATCTGTGTTGCAAATGTGGGGATGAACCCTCAATATTTGACCATTGTTACCAAGACAGAAAGATAAGGGAAATGTAAAATTGTATAGTTGTCACCAGAACAGGAGTAAAGAGGATATCTTCTGATATGGACATCTGTTGGAATTTCCTTTCATTCAGGAAGCTTTCCATTTACTGCTTGTAGTTTTCTGGAACAGGAAGTGGAGGAAAATCACTGGGACGGGGACAGAGACAGTGATAAAATCTTACTCACATTATTCAAAGACAAAATATAACATTTTGGCAGGAGTTAGTCTTAAATGAAGGTGGTTGTGACTTTTAAGTAGAAAAGCTAGAAAGGTAAAGTAACCTTTATGTGTTAACATTGTGATTTACTTATGTGCAGTAACCACAGCAACTAATCAGAAATAAGCTATAGTGAAGTCTGACTAATTAAAGATGTCTGATAGGGTTACTGTACTTTATGGTCTCATGGCTTGGAGAATATAGCCTTTCTTTGTATTAACTGTGTAATGTTTAGTATTAGATCTGTGATTTAAAGTCTGTGAAGTACTGATATCTTTAGCAATGAAGAGATGCAGATGGGTAGAAGAACTCATGATATGTGCATGTCTCATGGTTCCTTTCCTATAGAAAAAATCAGCAGATTACACAGTGTTTTTATAAGTGGTGGACAAAGCCACCAAAGTGTCCTGTGCAAAAACTATTTTCGGTTGTCTCATTTTACTACCGCCCAAGGAAAGATAGATAGAGAGATAGATAGATAGATAGATAGATAGATAGATAGAGAGATAGATAGATAGATAGATAGATAGATAGATAGATAGATAGATAGATAGATAGATAACTCTCTCATGGTTCATAACATGCAGCAGTGAGCACCTCCTTCAACACTGTGTTACTGGCAACAGTTATGTAGAGTGCAGCCAAACATCCATGCAGGAAACACGGTGTAAAATAAATCCTTTTCTGCATACTTGTTATAGGTTAATGGCTGAAAGTATTGGTGAAAACGGATCAGCATGACAGACATGCAACTAGCATTTTCAAGACAGCCTCAATGTTTTTTTCAAGAAAGGATAACATTGTTTGTACACATGATCAGATTTTTAAGAGCACTTGATTAACTTCAATGATCCAGTCCTGGGGGTGGTTCTGTACATCTTATTAATTAGTAAAGAGATCAATATCCTTATTATCAGTTTGGTAGAGTAAAGACAACATTGTTCTTTTGTTTTGTGTTATCAAATGTAGCAAGTAATATTACCATTAAAAATGTAATTTTGGTTTGAAACATACAGCAAGGTAGACAAATTTGTTGGTACATCAGTTAATAAATTTATTGTGTAACAGATACTAATTGGGAGGACAGAAGTCACAAAGTATAAAGAAGGATGTAGACTGTGTTGTCAAAGTTTCTTCTTTCCCTTTGCAAACAAAGTTTCTCTCTTACATTCTCTATTATACTGATATCATTGTTTCCTATTGTATCTTTCTAAAACTTGTAACATTTTATAATATTAAGAGTAAATGTTTAACCCAGAGCTATAGCAATTCTATTATATGAGACCCAGGGCCGAATTTACTCTCTTTGCTGCTTTAATGCCAGGTTCCCCAATGCGCCCGCCTGTATGCAGGCTGCATACAAGTGATCTCGGCAAAGCAGGGCTAAATGTAGACAACAACTAGCCACCTGGGACCCGGAAATGCATGTCCTGAGCTTCGGGAGATAGGAATTCCACACCTCTGCTGCCACTCTACTCTCTGCTGCCCTGAGGCCGGGGCTTCGGTTGGCCTTGTGGGAAATCTGGCCCTGATTAGCCCTAATCATTGGCTGGTCACTCTAAAATTTCTCTGAAACTACAATGATGAGATCTTTTAAATCGTATACCAATCCAAAGAGCTCATGTAGATGGATGGATTCCCATTTATTGCAGTAAGTGTAATATGGTTGCGTTTGACCTTATTTGCTTTCTTTGAATGCTGTAGGTCATATTGAGAGCCATTTGCATTGCAAGCAAAGCAAGTCAAACACAGCCTTTTGATGCATTTCGATGTATGTGTTTACACAGCACTGCATTCTAATGCAAAAAAAGCAGTGCTTCACAACAACACCCATCTACATTGGCTCTAAACAATGTACCCTAACACCTAAATATCTCAAGTGGGAACGGTTTGATTTCCTAACTGCCTAAAGTTCATCATGACCTTCAGGGGTCAAGGCTGAAGGTCATGATGGCTTAACATAAATTAAAAGTATGAACAAAATCCAAGTTTACCTGAATTTAAATAATATTGACTTTTGTCTTTACTATCAAATTTACTAACAAGGTATCTATATTATCTTTCAGGAAACAGCATCAACCATGGTGGACACAGAAATGCCATTTTGGGGCATGAATTTTGGCATGAACACTATGGACCTGCCCTGTATTGACGACCACTCCCAGGGCTTTGACATTAAGCCCTTTGCCACAGTGGACTTCACAAGTATCTCAGCTCCCCAATATGAAGATATTCTAGAAGAAAAATCATTCTTATGCCGAAATGAACAGATGGACACTGATTATAAGTATGACCTAAAACTTCAAGACTGCCAAAGTACGCTGACTTCTTCAATGTTCATTACAGTTTTCTGGAGTCTTAGAATACATATCATAGAAATACTGCAGAACCTCCACCTAATACAACAGAGCAATAGATATAGCAGCCGTTGCTAGACCTTATAATTCTGTAATAGGAAGGTATAACCACCTTTGTCTCTTTTAGACAATGTCCTCTTCTTTTCAAGGTTTGCATTCATCTGTGTATAAATATGTAACATAAATGTTTGCATTGTGTAGAGTAATTCTCAAAGTGGTACTCTACCATGACACCCACAAAACCATGACACACACAAAACTTAAAGTGTATGCTTGGGCAAAATTTTCAAACGCAAATGCCATACATCTCTATAATACATGCACATTTCTCCATGTTTTGTCCCTTAAAAAATTTGCAAGTGTAGACAAATATTTGTTGATCTACCAGAAATCCAATGAGCCCCTAAATTCCTGGTTGACCGCTGCCTTTGTTGTGCTCAGATCCCAAACAGTGTTGTTGACCCTGCCTAGTTCTCCCCTGTTGGGCTATAGAACACCCCCTGCTTACCTCAATGCATATAGGGAGGTGTTCTGTATTCCACTTCAGACATACATTTCAAGAAAATGATGTAGCTGTTGTTGATGTGTGCATACATATGGTATCACTATTGTGGGGAACATCCATTTATGTTGCACAGCAACAGAATGCAAAGCAGAAGCCGTGACACAGATTTATTATATAATTGCAGCTTGAGTCATTAAAAAAACCTTCCCCTGACCACTTCCTAATTGTGCATCTGTTGGAGTGAAAATGTGTCAGGTCATGTTGAAAATCTGTTTCCATTTCCAGTGTTAATTCTGTCTCAGACCTGTGTGAGAAATGCCCCCCTGTACATTTCTTATTTAAAAACTAAATCAGGTTTTAATTTACTCCACTTACTGCCTGATGTCGAAAGTTAACTGTATTGTCATCACCCCTACCTACTGATACTTAAAGTAGTATTAAATTCTTCCCTTTTTGGCATATAACTACTGCTAGACAAACACCTAATCACTTACCTGTTCCAGCGCCGCTCGCTCCTGGCTGAAACACTTTCAGCTCCTGAACGGCTGTGAAGAAGAAGTATGCGGGTACAGTAGAGGGGAGGGGAGAAAACAGACACTAAGGGGGTGATTTACTAACCTAAACACACACACACACACACCAGGTGTGTGTGATTTTCACACAGCAAAACGTATTTATCAACCAAAAAGTCTCTAAAAGCATATTTCCACTAATGCCATATATGGAAAAATCATGCACATGATGCATATATAATGCTGCTTTACAGTTTAGACAAAAATGGTTAGCTCATGCATTTACATTCCTGCATTCATCAACGCAAGCAACACAACATAGAGCTAATTTACACAACATCACCTTGGAATTCCTTCAGGGCTTTGCACAACACACCTGTTGGGTGTGTACACATTACAAAGGTGTTTAGATTCCACCCATAGATCATGCTGGGAGAGAACACACTGCAGAGGTGTATACACGTTCGTGGTGTGTTTATAAGGTTAGTAAATCAACCCCTAAAGCTCAATGGATGCAGCCAGGAGCGCGCACGCTGGACAGACTCCGTGGGACATGAGGAGTCTGCGCTAGATCAGAGACCGGCAGCAGGGCTGGAGGGACTGTCAGAAATGAGTGGAGGAAGAAGATGATCGCAGCGAGAGGCATCAAATAAGGTAAGTACTTACAGCAGCATGGGGGGGGGGGATTCCACCTTAATGTCATTTTAACTTGCCTACGCGTGCCCCCCACTCTATTCGTGGTGAGTCTAATCCTTGTTCTTACTTACACAGAATTAATGACTTCCCTCATATGGCAGTGTTCATCCCTGGCAATTGGACACTCAGGCCTGAGCACTGCATCTTGGAAGGTAGGGGAGGTGTTATGTTCCCCATACCCAGAAACACTGGGTAGTTCTCAGTGCTCCCATAGACAAATAGAGGGGAGGAAATGTCCAAGGAAAAAAGTATCAGTAGTTGGGCTGGAGGAGGGTTGGCCATTCAAGAGAACCTGCCACTTTCCCCATTCTCTGTAACCAAATCTTTAAATCTCATGTTATTTACAGCTTTTTAAAATGCTCAGTAAAACTTTTTCAAAAACTCATGACAAAGAGCAATATGTTTAATGAAAGTGTAATTAAGGGAAAGTGCAATAAAATCAGATTGTAAGGAATAAATTGTGATTGCTTGCTATGGCTCAACACACTTGTCCTCTGTCTAGATGTATAAGTCTTGAAAAATGATTTCACTTACAGATTGATAGATATTTTTTTTATATTATTATTTTTTAACCCAGACTTGATAAAATTGGAGCCCCCTTCACCACCATACTACTCAGAGAAGACTCAGTCATTCAATAAACCACCAGATGAAACTTCCAATTCCTTCATTGCCATAGAATGTCGAGTTTGTGGAGACAAGGCCTCGGGTTTCCATTATGGTGTCCATGCATGTGAAGGCTGTAAGGTAACAAATATACTTCATTAGGGTAGAAAAAACATCCAGTGTAAACATATTTATATATTGTATTTGATCAACAAATATTAAGGTAACTTTACTGGCAATATGCACCTAAACATTCATCAAGGTGATTATACTTCTCTATCTAAAGCCGTCCATGCTAACCAAGTATTGCTGGAACATATTAAAGGTTTATCAAAACTCATATAATATACTCTTTATTAACCGATGGACTCTGGTGGGCTAAACCACTGATTATTTCCAGTACCCTCCTTCTGCCTCATATAACAGCATGTCAGACTCAATTGACAGGGCCACTTTATATTTACTGAGAGCCACACCTACTTCTCTTCCAGAAAAAAAAGTTAAGTGTTTGGCAATTAAGGTTACTGCAACTTACAACATTTTATCCCAGAAAAGGGGGCAATAAAACCGTTTATAAAGTATTAGGCTAAAAAAAACTATGTGAAGAAGTGTAATTTTTAATAGATGGAGAACAAATGGGGCCACATACAATTGAAATTTCTAAACTGGCTGAGGGTCACAGAGAAGGAGTGAGATAGCAGTGGAACGTGCCTGCCTTATGGCTTCAGCAGGTCGGTACAGCTGGGAATTTGGAGATATCACAAATGGAGTCCCCTATAGGTTTACTTTCACAGATTTAGACGTATAACCAGATCTGAATGATCCAAGTGTACCCTCTGTGCTCAGGAAACAGAAGACATGGTCATACGATAAATGTGTACACGAAGACATTGTGTGAACAGACTGGACTGGTTGTTAGGGAATCTATCTCACCTTCAGCCAATTCACCTTAGCGTGACTAATTTCAGGTTAGGCTCAGGTTTCACACAATTCTAGGCTGTCCTGTGGAAATGAATGGGCTGAGGGCTGTATATTTCATCATAGGATGAGTGAGTTTAAAGTAAGCTTTTTGCAAGCCTGAGCAGTTCAAATGAAAGCTGAATGCCAGGACCACCCTTTTTGTGCCATAAAATTGCCTTCTCAGTGTACAAATAATTCACCAAAAAGTATTTTTAAAAACAAATTCAATAAATATCTATGGCATTACTCACTTTCCACAAGCATTGCACCTACTCCAGGGTGTCGAAAGGAAGGATTTGCTCATAACAAGAAAACATAGACCAGCCAAAGTGTTTCTGGAGTTCAGACATTCACCGTTCATCAGAGCTTATGAATGCTGTGACTGGACTCAATAAGTTGCTTTTAGAACAGTATTAACTAGTAGCATACCAGAGTATCAGCTGTTTTATCTTCTTGTTATGCGCAAATGCTAATATTAAAATATTTTGCATCAAAAAGCTTTGGTCTGGTGCTCCCAATTTATACAATGCAATAATTTTTACACATAGATGTTAATCTTTGGATCCTAATGGGCACCCTGGTTTTGTTGACAGTGGCCTCACCGGAACTACTGCTCTCAATATGCACTCAATTAGATTTTCTTCAACCTTGAACTACCTATAACCAAATCCAGCTCCACTTATATACATTTTCCAATCATGGGTGGTTGATGACTGCGTGGAAACACAGAATGTATCCACCCATTGCAAGCACATTGTTGATTACACCATGGGTAGCTGTCTTATAGAGAGAACGTGGCGGCTACTGGTCTTATGAACCAGAAGACAGTGAAGTTACAGTCTGTGTTGGAGCTCTTTCAGAGTTATTTCAGGGGGGAAATAAATATACTAAAAAAAATTGTTGCAGGTCAAGTTAAGGTAAGGGGATTCCTTTAGAACGAAGAGTTACTAGTTGTGACTGGAGGTCAGCTGTAAACACTTAAAATATATACGAAGATGTTGCCTTCAGCAGTTATTAGAAAATCTCAACTTTTCTTGTACATTGTACAATTTAACCTTGGTCACACCCATTTCCACATCCAAAGCTTTACCTATTAGTCATTGAGGCTGCCCACCACTTTAAAGCACCAAAAGGGAGGTTTAGAAGATGATAGAGCAGGGCCAAGCTGACATTTGAAATGTCAGCTGATATTTGAAAAAATATCTGTCTGTACATCTGCCACAATTTTCACTTAAAGGAGGACTATGGGGTTAGGGCTTTTCCCCATAGTTCTCCTTAGGGTAACGGGAGGACACAAACTAGCGTCCTCCCGTCACCCTAAGCTCAGTATACCGCGAGCTACAGCTCGCGGTATACTGAGACGCCGCAGCTGAAGCGGATCCCGACAATTATGTCTTGATCCGCCTAGCTGCGTGAGTGACAGCTGGCTCTGCCTATCTAGAGGCAGAGCCAGCTGTACCTGCCCCCTTCCACGTCCGTTCCACCAGTCAGCGCTGGGGGATCGGAGCAGGGAGGGGGGAATCCAGTCCCTCCCCTGTCACGGCAGAGAGCCGTGACAGGATCGAGAGGTGAGCGAACACCGGTATGTGTTCGCTCACTTCCCCATCTACTGAGCCGACCTGTGACAGTCTCATTGTCACAGGTCGGCTAGAACTATGAGAGTGAAAAGCACTCACCTCATAGTTCTCTTTTAAGGGTCCAATTCTGCATTTCCTAATTATGTGCTCAGTTTGAATTGCCCAGGTTTGGGGGGGACAGCAACACGAGCCAATTAAATGTGCTGCAGTGCTCATGTGCTAAAGAGGAGGGAGCAGAGTGATAGAGAGATTAACTCATCAGTAAGTTTCATCTACTTTCATTGTCCATCCACAGGCTGGTAGAGGGACACGGCCTTAACTCTTAAATCTAACTTAACTCCAGCAGAAAAAAAAGGCAGGTCTCTTTCCCTACCTGATAGTGCTGTGTGGCAGAGCTGTGTAAATCTCAGGAATTGATGAACAAAAATACAAATGTGTCATTTGTCTCAAGAAAGCAGAAAATAGTAGGTGGCAAAAATAAGAAACAACACACACAAGTACCAGAAATGTAAAGTGCTCAAATGTTACCTCCCTATAATAACAAAGTCTATGTCTGGGTGGTCTTAGCCTGGTGACCTCCTGTAGTTCAGATTATTTATGGGTTGTAAGCATTAAGGATATTATCTATTGTTAGCTATGCCAGATAATTTCTCTTCAGAGGCCAGATAAGATTCAATATATCATAAGATATACTGATCGTAGACATTATACTACAATGGAAGCTCGAATTATAGACTAGCATAACATATATCCCTGAATATACTACAGATCTGTGAACTGCTGGATGGATAACAAATTACGGCCACATGTTTTATGAAGCAAATCATTTTTCTTTTTCAATGCAGAGGTTTTATCTGTGGTTGTGAGTGAATTATCAGGTCACTAGAGAGGCAGCAAAATAAAAAGGTTTCACAGATAAAACCTGAGTCTCTGTACACCTCAGTACCATAATATAATTTATGCTTGCTAAGCCAGAGCCAGCAAATAAAACATTCCGAGCTAAGGGTTTGTCAACAACAATTACTCAGTAAGTAGTGTTTTACTATAAAACATAACATCTAAATAAAATGAAAAGCTCAGAGTCTTAAAGAAGAAATCTTGGAATTGTAAAAACTTTCCCCTGCAGTGGGGCTATCCCCCACTCTTTTTTTCTCTAGGGGATGGAATAAAGAAGATATACTCACCTGATCCTTGATCCCACCAGGCTGCTAGACCAGACCGGTCCCTGCAACCTCTTCTCCCCTGGACTCCGGTGGTCTAACGACCACTGAGGTCATCATGTCCAATGCAGGTCCATTATCTTGCATTAGATGTGAAGACTCAGAGAGACATTTCACAGCTGGAGTGAAGGGGGAGAAAGGTGAATGCTGACCACTGTGGGACTGAGGATCAGGTGAGTATATCTGCTTTATTCCATCCATCAACTCTGCCTAGTATTCAGAGCCTAAAGCTCTCAACATTCTTGTGTCACCTCTCTGCCTCTAGCCATCAATGAGCCAGTGACTAAGGTCTTCCCTATGCTTTATATGTCAAAAATGATGGTTAAGCCCAGAATTGTTATTTTTTAACATTATTTTTTCTCTAAACTGTTTTTTTAAAATAACAAACAAGACAATTAAAAGATAGGAGAAAGGCTGTAGTGCAGAATAACACTGCATGATAGTTAAATAGTTTTTCCTATATATCTGTTCATCAGACCAAAAAAAGGGACAGAGGGATTTGGTTCCAATGGGGTACAGTTGGGAGGTGTACATTAGTATATAAAATGACTTGGACCTGTTACACTTGGGCATTGCAGTAAAGTAAAACACATACAATTTTCTAGCACATGACTTGTATATTCCAGCATATCATATGATTGTTATTTCTCGATCCATGTGTTTGAAATTTGATCCTTTGCACAAACTATCTTGGTTTTATAATGATTTTCTGTACTCTATAGGGATTCTTCAGGAGAACAATCAGGTTGAAGTTAATTTATGAACGATGTGAACTCAACTGTCGCATTCACAAAAAAAGTCGCAACAAATGTCAGTACTGCAGGTTTCAGAAATGTCTGGCTGTTGGGATGTCCCATAATGGTGAGTAGAAGGATAGCCTTTGTTGACTTCCGTCACCCACAAAGCTTTGTTCTATTCATAGTGCAAAGAAATAAATATCAGCTTCCAGTTCAGTAAAGGTTAACCTCGAGCCCATATCCTATTGGATGTTATAGGTCAGGGCTCAAAATTTCAAGTCCTGAGCTACTAGCCAGGCCTTAAGAGTTACTCGCCACCAGTTGCCCCACCTAACCCCAACCCTGCCTCGGCCTTAACTCCGCCCCTAAACCCACCCTCTTAAATTATCTTATGAAATTACACTTTTAAATGTTGAAGGCAGAATAAAGTTACAAAAATAAATATTAACAACAACAATATTAAGATAAAGCAATGTAAACATTGCGGCCCTCCACATCCCCACATATAAAATAAATACCCTCCCCCCTGTTCTCTGCCTCCCCCCATATAAAATAATACCCCACCGTTCTCTGCCCCCCACATATATATAATACTACCCCACGGTTCTCTGCCCCCACATATAAAATAATACCCCACCATTCTCTGCCCCCACATATAAAATAATACCCCACCGTTCTCTGCCCCCCACATATAAAATAATACCCCACCGTTCTCTGCCCCCACATATAAAATAATACCCCACCATTCTCTGCCCCCACATATAAAATAATACCCCACCGTTCTCTGCCCCCCACATATAAAATAATACCCCACCGTTCTCTGCCCCCCACATAGAAAATAATACCCTCCCCCTGTTCTCTGCCCCCCACATAGAAAATAATACCCTCCCCCTGTTCTCTGCCCCCCACATAGAAAATAATACCCCCCCCCTGTTCTCTGCCCCCCACATAGAAAATAATACCCTCCCCCTGTTCTCTGCCCCCCACATAGAAATTAATACCCTCCCCCTGTTCTCTGCCCCCCACATAGAAAATAATACCCTCCCCCTGTTCTCTGCCCCCCACATAGAAATAAATACCCTCCCCCTGTTCTCTGCCCCCCACATAGAAAATAATACCCTCCCCCTGTTCTCTGCCCCCCACATAGAAATTAATACCCTCCCCCTGTTCTCTGCCCCCCACATAGAAAATAATACCCTCCCCCTGTTCTCTGCCCCCCACATAGAAATTAATACCCTCCCCCTGTTCTCTGCCCCCCACATAGAAAATAATACCCTCCCCCTGTTCTCTGCCCCCCACATAGAAATGAATACCCTCCCCCTGTTCTCTGCCCCCCACATAGAAAATAATACCCTCCCCCTGTTCTCTGCCCCCCACATAGAAATTAATACCCTCCCCCTGTTCTCTGCCCCCCACATAGAAAATAATACCCTCCCCCTGTTCTCTGCCCCCCACATAGAAAATAATACCCACCCCCTGTTCTCTGCCCCCCGCACACATGACAATCTACTCTCCCCCAACCCCCCCCTTCCCAGCCCACATAAAATAAAAGAGCCCCCTCACCTGCTTGCCGTTATGCAGGGAGTAGGCACGAATCTGATCCCTCGTGATTAAGTCAGGTACGGACCGGGATCGCGTACCTGACTATGAGAGCAGCCGCTCCTTGCTGTCCTGTCCTGGCTCCGTTCCTTTTCGGCCGGAGCTCTGCAGTTCTGAGCTCCGTTCTCTGCAGTAAGGTCTGCAGACCTTACCAATCCATCCTTGCGAACGGGGCTCAGAACTGTCAGAGCTCCGGTGATAGATCGAAAGTAACGGAGCCAGGACAGGACGGCAAGAAGCGGCTGCTCTCATAGTCAGGTACGCGATCCGTGACCGCGTGCCTGACTGAATTTCCACTCGCCCTCTCTTTATTTTGGCGAGTGGAAATTTTGAGCCCTGTTATAGGTCACTGTGCAGCATTCTCTATGCTGCTAAAGCAAAGCCCAAAGGGCCAGCCATGGGCAATTCAGCTGCTGGGGACACATTACCAGTGAATTTGATAACCTGAATGTTATATATGTATATTTACTTTTTTTATATGTACAGTATAAACCTGTTTATTGGCCAGCACAGCCAGAGAATACCAGTGTGTGTATTGTCCATATATAAGATGTCTCTGCAAGTGACGCATCCAATCTGAACAGAGCCATCCCTCTTGCCTCAGACGGCAGCTTGTAGAGGGCGGCAGACAGAGTGGCATGAATCTGAGCATTGTTTTTTATGATTGGACAAGGACTGGGCCAGTACTGCTTAGATCAGGGGTGTGCAACTCTTACCCGCCAACTACAAATCCCAACATGCCTTTGCCTCTGGGAAGCATGCCTGTAACTGTCAGTCTTGCAATGCCTCATGTAGTTTTACAACAGCAGGAGGGCCAGAGTTGCCTACCCCTGGCATAGATGGAGCAGAAGTTGATCTAACCCTAAAACCTGTTCTGAAAAAGTATCACAGCCAATACTCAGCGGTGTTTATAGTTACAGTGACCCAGAGAATGAGAGATTAGCATGATAGCCAGGAAAACAGCATTTTTAGGCATAAGCAATGGAAGCCTGTACATTTCTGAAGAAGTAGCATTTTTACTAAACCCTGAGTCAAGAGATATACAAGGCCAATAGCTGGACTGCTGTAAATGTAGCGCAGCTTAGTCCGATAAATCAAGACTAAAGGCCTGTTTATACCAGGGGGCTCACTTCATGGTGCGTATAACAAGCACATCAGTGTGCGTTGTGTACCCATGCTTCAATGTGCTGTAACACTGCATCACAGTGTTTACATTTACTTTGTTTAATCTTTATTTACAGTTAAAAAAAAGGTTTTAACACTATGCGCAGTACAAGCAGCACAGTACAACATGCTAATGCACATTGTAACACGTGGTTGTGCATTCTCTTGCATAAAATGCAGCAATCCAAGGGCCAGTTCAAATTAGCATGTCTGTTAAAATGCTCAATTTTACCAGGCAGACTAGTGCAATGTGGCAGCTGCGACTTGTCCATGGCCGGTTCATACTATAGTGGTGCCCTGTGTTTTTGTGCAAAGGAAAACGCAGGTCACCGCCAGAAAAGTTGACCCGTCACTTTAATTGCCCTCTTTAAGGCCAACTTTACACCAATGCCTTGGGGCAGCATGCGATGCCGCTGCATGAATGTGTTAGTGTATTGTGGTGCTTTTTATTCTGAATGGTACCCCAATTCACTAAGGCATCGGACCTGTGTTGAAGCCAGGGGTGTATCTACTGCAAGGCAAACTAGGCATTTGCCTATGGCGGCACTTCCCAGGGGGGCAGCAGGAAAGGCCACCCAAACCAATGAGGTGGACAGGGCCGGACTTGCACTTGTGGGCCGAGGCTGGGGGGCACAGAATCAGGCAGCGGCGACTGCCTAATGAGGCAAACTAGGCGGCCGCAAGTCCCCAAGAGTGGCTGCCTAATTAGAGAGCTGCCCGTTGGAGGGGAGGGCCCAGTGAGATGCGGTCCGGCTGGCTTTGTGCTGGAGGTGGAGGAGAAGCAGCAAGTGGTTCGGGGCTGGCCATAGCATGTGATCTGATGGTGGCATGTCCCAGAAGCAGGCTGGGGACTGCAATGTATCTGTTGGTACTGATGGCACTTCGAGCTGCAGGTAAGAGGAGCAGCACATGTATGCAGGGAAAGGGACTATGCACAGCCCACCTGAGACCATGCACAGCTCTCCTGAGACCCCGTGTGCGCTGTATCCAGTGACTGACAGGTTGCGCAAAATGACCTAAACAGGATGGGGCAAATTTAGATTGATGGGGGTGCCTGAGTTTAGTCTTGCCTAGGGCAGCACAAAACCAAAATACACCACTGGTTGAAGCGCATGGTAATACACTGTCATGGGTGCTGGGTTGACTAGAACATGTCAGGGCCAGTTTTTGGTGTACTAAGGGGCATTGGTAGCCCGTTCAAAATATTTTGGCTGTCTGATATAATCCACATTAACATGCATGTGGTAACACACTGCAATGCACCAAAAAGGTGTGAAGGTGCCTACAGGCTTAAGTTGCTTCTAATGTATTTATTATAGTATTTTTAAGTGAGCCATTGTCTACTCTGCAAAGTACTGGTCCAGTTTAAAAAAAAGAAAAGGTTTGTTGCTTTCAGGTAACAGGGGTTTGTAAATTATTAATATCCATGCAGCGCTTTGTAATGAAGTTTGATAAGCAAATCTGGTAAAGCTGCAGGTATTTTTTTTATTTTTAGAAAATTCTTCCCCAAATTGATCTCCTGGAGCAGTTAAATCTGCTGTCACTGGGAATTTTTCTCCTTTGTGAGTTTGAAGACTTTTTTAGAAGTATTGGTTCCTCTTGCAGCACAAGCGACGTGCTGGAACAAGGGCATCCGTGACAGAGATTGTTTAAGTGTAAAAACAGGGCCATTAAGTAAGCGTGAACACTAGAAAGGCCTGCTCGGGGAGAAGGAGACCTGCTGGAATTACCTCATTCCTTCACTTCACTTCTCGCCACTGACATGAAGCCAAACAGGCTGAGCAGGTTGAGTGGACAGTGCTTTTAAAACATCATGTGAAAAAGAAAGAAAATACCTTAACGGCCCAGCGAGGGCTGATAATGGTAACATCAATACAAACCTTTTAGTGTTCCAAAGCTTTACATGAAAAATTTCACTTTCTAAGGCTTATGTGCATGTAGTGAACGTGTGTTTTTTCAACATGCAGTTATGTGCTTTTGTTTGTGCATGTATGTTGTGGGTGCATAATATGCAAAGAAGCACAATCAAATAAGAATACAAGTTTTTTTGTGTGTAGATGCAATGACAAAAGTTCCTGATACATTTATTATTACTTTCAATGGACCTGCTTATAGTGGACCTCTTAGTAATTGTACAAGTCTCCATGAAGTCTCTCCCCCCCCCACCCCCCCTCTCTCTCTCTCCCTCCCTCCCTCTCTCTCCCTCCCTCTT